GCTGAGAGAACAGCACATCCGGCATGGAGCACTCACACCGCGGGATGGTCGGTGATGTTTTCCCCCCGTCATCAAGAGTCGAGTTGGACGCAAAAAGAGAGCCTAAAAGGTCAGCTTTGTCTTTTGCGTCTTAGGCCAGTGTGTCGTCCTCCCTGTGCAGAGATGGTAGTGATGGCTTACAGAAATTCCCTTGGACAGCCTTGGCAAGAGACCAGAATGCACGGGTTCCCGAAGGAAGGCGAACTAGTTTCTCGCCAATTCTGCCTATGTGCTCTGACTTTGCCTTGGCAATAACTCTTTTGAAGGACCTGGAGGCGAAGTTATACTTCTTTTTAAGTGTGCTGGTGTTTACATCCCGAGTCGCCGAAGCCGCAGCCCAGGCTTGATAACACTCCTGCTTACTGCGTAATGCAGTCTTACAGGAGCGACCAAACCAAGGCTGAGATCTGCCTCCGATGGGTACCACAGATGATGGAATAAATAGTTCCATTCCCTGTAGCACCACATCAGTGACAGAGTCAGCAACAGCGCTGGGATCATCCGGCGAGAAGCAAACCCGCCCCCATGGGTAAGATGCAAAGAAAGACCGCATTCCGTCCCAATCCGCCGACCTGTAATGCCAAACACGGCGGCAACCTGCAGAACGCAACCGCGAGGGGAGCGTGAGTGGCACCACACTCCGGATCAGACAATGGTCCGAAGAGCCGAGAGGGGCATTGACGGAAACCTGATATCCGTCCGGATGAGAGGTCAGCAGAAGGTCCAACAGGGATGGTGTATGATCCTCCACATCTGGAATCCACGTAGGCGAAGTAACCAGTTGTGTCAGACCATATGCCAAGGCAAAGTCATAAACAGATCTCCCCGCATGATCGGTAAAACGTGAACCGAGCCATTCGGCGTGGCGGACGTTAAAATCGCCAAGGATCACGATCTCTGCGGATGGGACCTGTTGTAGCAAGGAATCTGTAGCCATTTGGACGTCGTCGATGAGTCGGTCTGTTTCGGCATTACCGCTATGGGACCTATAGAGGCACCCGTAGACGCGCGGATGGTCGTCGCTGTCTACGCGTAACCAAAGGATGGACAGGTCCGAACCTTCAAGACTGCCGAGGCGTCGAGAACAGATGTCCTCTCTGATATACACGCAAACTCCAGCCCGAGGCACAAAGGAGTGCTCCAATTTGTACCCCGGGTAGGAGAGATACGAAATATCAGCCGGAGAGGAAACCTGCGTCTCGGTCAGAAAGAGCAAGGCCGGCTTCGCCGTCTCGAGATGGTAGTGGACGGCGTTTAGGTTAGAGTGAAGTCCCCTGATTTTGCAGAAATTCACGGATAGCGTGGCAGGGGTCGCCTTGGTATTGTTACTCAGTTTGCCCCGTGCAGTTATGTTTTTGAGCGGAATTTGCCCCCCCCCCCCCCCCCCCCGAATACGCGGGGCAGCCTGAGCACCCACGCTCAGGATTGGAATAACATGGTCGTGGATGCTCAGCGAGGGATTCTCCAGGGGTACTGGTACCCTCCTGGGGTAGTCTATTGTGTAATTCCGCTACCATGTTGATAGGGGGGGGGGGGGGATTGGGCCTCCGGCCACCTGCACTCACCAGACGAAACGCAGAAGCAGAGCTTCTACTTCACGCCGGTATTCTGTGAGGTCGTGGTACCAACCCGGCTCGAGCCGGCCCATACGTGCAACAGCAAAAACTGCTGCGTGGCTCTACCTCCGTTAATTAATTTCTAAATAAATTAAATTACGAAGACACAGTGAAGTTCTTAGAAATTCTAAAATAGTTTGTATTAATTGTAGGTAACAACTAATTGTTATTTAGTTATTTTAGTTATTATATAACATAGTTTAATTATTTAAATATTTAGTGTCCTACATTATTAAATACATTGTGCAAGTGATGTCTGAAACATAGGTACTCAACCTAGTTCAGGCAGGTAGATAATATTATAAACTTGACTTTTCTATTTTTCTGCCGACTTCCAAAAAGGAGACGGTACTCAATTCAACTGTATGTTTTTTTTTATGTGTGTTACCTCATAACTTTTTACTGGGTGAATCGATTTGGATGATTCATCATAGCATGTCATTTTTGTTAGACTTATTGTTACGAGTACTTTAGTTAATTGTAATTTTATTTGTTCCTGTATGTAAACATGTGTAATTGGAAATGAAATAAATATTTAGTATTGTTATTATTTTTATAATAGAATTTTCTCTTATTAAATAACAATTTTTATATTGATTACATACTTTAACAACTAGTAATTAACTAGTCAAATTTTATTAATTTTTTCACTCACTGACTGACCGATCATCAAAACTCTAAGGCACTTCTAGCAGGCATAGAAGTTTCAAATTTGGAATAAAATATTTTACAATTTCGGTTCAGTTTTTGAGATACACCAACTGCATAAATAACTTTGTAATCCCATATAAATATATAGGAGTACAAAGTTACATTTGCAGTGAATGAATCAGTGTAATATATATATATATAATATAATGGAATAATATGTGTAGATAGCTACCTAGATATAACTATCTACAAAAAGAAATGAGATGGCATCAGAAACATATCATGTGGTAAAGTGAAAAAAAGAAAGGATACAGGCGGTTCAAAAAAACAATTTAGACCAATTTAATAAAAATGCTTTAATAAAGCGAACAACACCACAATAACAGCTTATGTCAGTTATCTAATAGCATTAATTAAAGTACAATTTTAAACACTATTAATTACAACATAATTAATTAGGAAAAATTTTAGAAGTAGGTACGTCTTATTGCACATTTGGTTTTTCTTTAAAACGTGTCATTACTCATCTCATTAGTATAGATTTTTATTAGCCATTCGTTTTCGACAACCAAATTGTATTCTCCAAACTCATTTCATAAAAATAATATGCAAATATAGACAAAAATAGTTGACCGTTTGCGTAACAGCATAATACAAGTCCACTGCTGAATATAAGCCACAGCCATAGATTGCCTCGAAGTGAGGATATTTTCCATAGTTGCCACGCTTGGCAGGCGGTTTGGCGCCTGTAGTTTTTATTTTTATTTAAAACTGTTATTAGGAAAACGCTGCTGCCCATCTCCTGGTTTATTTCTCACTGACGGTTCTTACGACACCTGTGGGATGATACGGGGTAGTGGATATTTTTATACCTCGACTATACAGGATTAAACAAAAATAAAATAACTAATAATTTATTTATAAATTTGAGTAACATTAATTTACTGAAACAATTACTGATTTCAAGTCGAATAAGAGTTGCTTCGATTGACAAACATGAACTTTTTGTACATAAAATAAATATTTATGAACAGGTGTAACATGTCACATATTACATAACCTATGATAAGCAACAAAACTATGTATTATGAATATGTAATGTAATTACACAATTTAAAATAAATAACAAAAGCTGCTGCATTGCGCATTTCTCTATTTCAAAAACAAAAGAGTTTCCGGATAGCAATAGAGACTTTATGAACTTCTTACATACGCGCCCAATTGAAATGTGACGTAAGACAAATAAAGAAAATGCGTAAAAGAACATATTTATGTATTTGAAATCTTAAGTTCGATAGCTTATTCCGTCGAGTTACACAAAATTTTCCTACTTACTGATTGACTGAGACAATTATATTTACGCCAATTATATTTACGCTCTTTTAATATACTTTAATAATAGACTAGGAATCTCGAATAGGTGCATTTATCATATATAAAGGTAATAAACCACTTATCACCGATCAATAAACATGTACGGATGTAAAAGTAAAAAATAAAAATTAAGTCCATAGATTTAAATACAATCGACTTTGCAAATATTATACTTATTACATAAATATACCTTTTTTTTATTTGAAATCGTCAACGGATGCGTAGACACTGAACATGCTAAATTTATTGCTTATTGTAATATGGCACTTGGGAGCCTCGATCTACTTATGCGAGACTGAGGAAGTAGAAGGCCAGCAGCGCGAGAGCGTAGAACGCGCCACTGACGGCGAGTAGCGTGCGCACGGCGGCGCGCTGCCGGGCCGCCCGCCCCCGCCGCCGCCCCGCTCCCCGCGCCGCTCCCCGCTCCACCGTCAGTCCCGCCACCACGTTGTTGTAGCGCTCCGTGTTGAGCACCTTGCGGCGCAGCGCCTTGCCCGCCGTCTTGTCGCCGGTCGCAGCCGCGTCCGCCACGTTGGCGCCGAGCGGCGGCGTCTCCTTCGCCAGCGCGTCGTACGCGCGCTCGTGCGCCGCGCCCGCCGCCTCCTCGTCGGGCAGCGCGAACTCTGGCCGCGGCGCCTCCGACGCCGCCGAGCGCGCCGGCGACGGGGCGCGGGCTCGCGGCTCTCGCGCCGCCGAATTGCGACGCGGCGCCGGCGCACCGTGTGTCGCGCCGCCCGCCGGTTGCCGGTAGTCCGGCGCGAGCGCACGCGCGCGGTACTCGCCAGTCGCCGCCTCGCCAAATCGCGGCGCCGTCGACACGACGAATACGCGAGGGACGTCGTGGCGGCGGCGAACGAGTGGTGCGTATCTAGGATTTGGCGCGACTGGGCGCTCGCTCGCTTCCCGCAACAGGCCCGCGTCGGCCGCATTCCGTGAGGTCGAAGCTCGTAGCGGCATGTAGTGATGCGAGCACGGCGGACGGGCGCGTTCGATGGAGTCGACGAGCGGCGAATCTGTGAGGCGAGCGTGCAGCGGCAGACCGTAGCGGAAGTAGCGGTCGCTATAGACGACCGTGGCTAGTGCGCCGCCGCGGCCCTGCAGCAGGTTATAGACGGCGCACGACAGACGGTCGTGAGCGCGGTCGCGGGGGCGGGGGCGAGGACGGGCGCGCGGGCGGGCGGCGCGGCGCGGCAGCAGGCGGCGCAGCGCGGGCGCGCGGCGCGGCGCCGGCTCGTGCGGCTCGTATGGCTCGGCGTACAGCGGCGCGCGGAGCCGCGGCTCGGCGGCGCGCGCGGCGTGGCGCAGGCGGCGCGGCCGGCGTCAGTCCGCCGGCGCCGGCGCGGCGGGGCCCAGCGCGCGCCGCGCCAGCTCCAGCTCGTGCAGCGCCTCCAGCGCCGTGCCCGAACTCCAGGCCTGCGAGCGGCACGAGTCCGCGCAGTACGCGCCGCCCGCGTTGCACAATTCGGGCACGCCGCGCCACGGCGACGCACGCAGCTCGCTCACGAGCGGCGCCAGTGCCGCGTACGATGCGGCCACCGTCTTCGCGTACACACCGTTCTCCTGTGCGAACGCGAGACGCGCCCGCAGATAGAACCCGAGCGGCCACACCCATTCGGGGCCCTGGTGATAGTTGTATCCGTGGGCGACGTTCGGGTCGTCGCTATTGTTCGAGTTGTCGTAGTCGCCGCGGTACGCCCAATCGGCCGGGTCGAGCGTCTTCAGGCCGAGCGGGCCCAGCAGCAGCCGCTCGACGTTGTCGAGCGCAAGCCAAGCGTGCTTCGGGTCGAAGAGTTCGGGCGCGACGGCCATGGCGACGGGGAAGTTGCAGCGCAGCTGGTAGTCGGCCCAGGGGCGCGTGGCGCCGTGCGTGTCCTTGTAGATGGCGCGGCGGTGCACGAGGTCGGGACGCAAGTCGGCGGCGCTGGGCGCGGCCGGCACCCAGAAGAAGCGCTCAAAGTTGCGGCGGATGCGCTCGGCCCACTGCGCGTAGGTCCAGGCGGTGAGCGCGCCGCCGCGGTGGCGCCGCGCCACGCCGGCGTGCGGGAAGCGCGCGGCGCGGTGCTGGGCCGCCAGCCAGGCCGCCACGCTGTAGGCGAGCGCCACCAGCTCCACGGCGCTGCCGTCGCGCGGCGTGGCCGGCCGCCCGCGCGTGCCCGCCGCCTCCGACGAGCCCATCTTGTCCATCCAAGTGCCACAATTGTAATCGTTACCCCCAAACGGGAATCCGGTCTCGGGGTCGATACCGATTTGCACGTTGAATCCTTTATCTGTCATGTGGGCGTCGATGGCGCGCCCGGCGTTTCGCTCTCGGAACACAAGGCCCTGAAATATGATTAGAGGTTTAACTCGATTGCTCGCTATTGGCTCGCAGGATACGGTGAAGGAGATCGAGTTTCACCTGAAAGTGCGTGTCAAGCGCCTCCTGCATGACGTCGTACAGCGGCTGTGTGCGGGGCGCGGGCTCCCCGTCGCGCGCGAACAAGCGTGCCACCGGCTCGCCCAGCAGCGCATAGCCTTGCGGCGCCTCGCTGCAGTACTGCGCAGGCCATATCGAACTTTGAATTAGTCTCAGAACGTCTTTCGTCAGATTTCGAAAACACCGCGTGACGTAAAAGATGGTCTCTTAAAATTATTCTTTAATGATATAAGACAAACCACTTGCAGTTGCACTCTAACAATCATTATTAAATAATAGCAAAAACTGTGTTCGAGAAAATTTAGACATGTGAGTGAGTACTTTACGATGAATTCAAGAAATGTTTGCATGTAGTATATCAAAATTAACACGTATTCTTTGTTAAACAATGTGACAAATATGCTGGACTACGAATGGAACGATGTCGCACTGTGCCACACGAATGGTCTAAAATTTAGTTTATTAATTATATTGTAGTATTTAGAATTTTACCTGTTTTATACTTTGCAACCACCACCAGACCGCATCACGACAGTTGAAGCGAGCGTTATGACCGCCATCTAGCAAATTAGGTATGAGCCCATGTCTTAAGCAAGCAGCGTACGCCAGGATGTGGGCTCGTGCGTCCTGAAAGCGGAAACTGTTAGTAAAATAACACCGAATTGAGGCGTAATTATATCTATTTTTAACTTAATGACTGACTTAATAAATGAATCTCTGGACGACGCGGCAATAAAATTTTTGACCAAAGGTATGAATTTCGGAATAACGCTGCGAAGAATCCCGTGTGAACATATTATCTGTAGTATTGAGGATTGTCTGTATAAAAATAATATCGGTAGTATTGAAGATTTAAGGATGATTCACGCTACAACGTGGCGCGGCCGGGCCGTGCCCCGGCCGGGGCACGGTCAAATATTATGGTGTACTTTTTGTATGAAGCGATTCATGCCTGACCGTGGCCCGGCCGTGCCCCGGCCGTACGCCGCCGGGACTCGGCCGGGGCACGGCGTTGAAATGTCGGTGGGTATTGTTTCCCGGCTCCGGCACGGTCCGGCCCCGACACGTTGTAACATGAACATATGCGCCCGGGCGCCCGGAGAGCAGTCAACGTCAAATCTTAATGAAGTGAACAGCTCAACAGCAAAATGGACGATGAAAAATTATTAGAATGTGTGCGCAAGTACCCTGTGATTTACGATATGAGCCATCCTAAGTATTTAGATAACAAATACAAAAATATTATTTGGAAAACCATTTCGGACGAAATAAAACAATCTGGTAAGTTGTAACTTTTATTTCAATTTACATTTATAATAGTTATTCAAGTGTCACTAATTACTTTACGACAACATGTAAGTACATGTGAGTGGGATTATCGGTTTTTAGTAGGTATTTTAGAATATGTTAGGTAAATTATAAGAAGTATATTATAGTGTAAGTATGTATTTATTCTTGATACTGTTGTCCTATAAAATTACGTCCCGCTGTTGACGCTAAATATTCTTTAAACGTTTCTCTTACCGCAAATGCATCATTAGCCGGTCTTCCTGGTTGAACGCTCAATGGATTTAATAAATGTGGTTGCGCATTTTGTGCACTATGATTGATAAGCCCTGTGTAATCTTTTTGTTCGCATAAAAAATTATGCAGTACGCATGTAGATAGAATAATGTAATCAACATTTTCTGGAGCAAGTTTCATTCTTCTTTGAAATATTCTAAATCTTTGTGTCAAAATACCAAAGGCATTTTCGACTAGTCGCCGGGCCAAAGACAGTCTATGATTGAAATTCGTTTTATTAGCGTCACCTGTTGCTTGGTGTCCTGGATACGGTCGCATTAGGTATGTTTTCAAAGGAAACGCTTCATCACCAACTATTACATATGGTGCAAACGTAGAGGAACCGGGTAAATTTTTACCAATAGGTACATGAAGCGTCCCATTTTCTAAACGTTTTCCAAGATTACATTGTGCAAAAATGCCACCATCACTGTTTCGTCCGTAAGCGCCAAAATCAACTGCAATAAATTTGTAGCATGCGTCCACTAACGCCAATAAAACAATTGAGAATGTGTGTTTATAATTAAAATATATAGAACCACTATTGGCTGGGGCTTTAATAACAAAATGTTTTCCATCCAATGCGCCTATACAATTTGGAAAACCTCTAAGCTTTTCAAAATCTTCGGCAATTTTACGCCACATTTCTTCTGTTGGTTCTGGTCTTTCTTAAATCTATTAACGATAGATCGACATGTGCTATGTACAATTTAGGTCACAGTTGAATGCCCCAATCGAAAACTGTACAAAATAGTTTTAAACGAATCCCCAGTAGCCAGGAACCTGAAAAAATAATAATGGTATAATTTCGCGGTATCTGTGTACTACAGTGAGCTATTACGTATTAACAGTACCATTTATACAGGTTGTACAGAAAATTACTTAACTTGTTCATTCTATACTATCTTTTTGCAGATGATGTATGTAAAAAAAGGTGGGCAAACATACGGGACCAGTTCAAAAAACATAGAAACAAACGTAAAACCAAGAGTGGACAGGGTGTTGTGGCAATAAAAAAATATAAATATGAAGAGAGCTTGAATTTTTTACTGCCTCATATACAGGATCGAAATACAATAACAAGTATCGAGTCTGAGAACGAAGAGACGCAAAACGAAACGGTTACTTCGCCAGTTACTACGCCCAACGAAACAATTAACACCGATGAACAGCAGCAGCAGGAAGATCGCTCACCAGCTATTAGTGAACCAAATTTTACGCCACCTGCTGATCCGAATCCATATCCCCCGTCAACTGCACAATTCACTCGTTCCGGCAACCGCAATCGCAATGCAACCGTTGCAACTGCACACAATCGCCGTCGTATAGTGCCACAATCCCAGTCCTCTGCGTCAAGCGCATTAATGGAATACATTCTAAAAAATAAAGAAAAGTCCAACACACAAGACATTCATCCTATTGATGCTTTCTTCAACGGTTTGGCAGCCACCATAAAATCTTTTTCCCCTTACTATCAGCATCTTGCAAAAGGAAGAATATTTGCAGTAGTACAAGATTTGGAGTGGGAGCAATTGTCATCAGAGCCTTCTTCTTACACATCTCCAATGAGTGGAACAACGTCAGCGTCGTCTACTAATTCAAGGTCGGTGTATGCACCGGTTCCGATGACTACACCAACGCCAACACCGGAATCAACGCCTACGGAACCTACGCCTTCGGAACCTTCGCCTTCGGAACTTACGCCTTTGGAATCTAATAATTTGTCTACTTTATTTTCAGAGTTCACGGCAGACTAATGAAATGAATAAATACTATGCGAATTATTTAAATTTTTACTTTTTTTCATTCACAATGCAATTTTGATCATTGAAAAATTGAAAATGAAGTATTTAGAAAAAATCGACCCATCTTACAACCAGCTCTGATAGATGGTTGTGAGACGGGTCAATTTGTAATACTACATTTTTAAATACTATGTGATTTAGTGCATATCAATTTATTATTTACCTGATGCAGACTGCTAATCGTTCGATGGGAGATATAGGCTTTTGAAATCTTGTAATTTTTTTGGTTAGGTCTGGTTTTACTTTTTCAAGTAAAAAAGTAAAGCATTCTTTAGACATTCTAAAATAACCATAAAACTTGCTCTCATTATCTATTAATTCTTTGTAAAGTAAAGCAAATTCTCCTTCTGCTTCTCGCTTTCTCCAGGTTGGATGTACACCCCATCTTCTTTTAGTAGTGTCGCTTCGTTTTTCCAATACTTCATCATCGATGGCAATTGCAATAGCTGCCAATTCAAATTGTGAAAATTGCATATTTATGTAAGCGTGAAGTCTATCGACAGATGAAATCACTAGCTGACAAAAACCACATAACACAGAGTCGTGCATAAGCCACGGTCGTTCAAACAGCCCGGTGTAACATGAATGACTGGCCCGGCCAGCGCACGGTGGACGTGTCCCGGCCGGGCACGGCCCGGTGGCGACACGTTGTAGCGTGAATCATCCTTTAGAGGCCATACGTCAAGACATTTCGTCTATGTTACGTCGAAGCTCAGCGCCGAAATTAAATCTTCTCAAAGATGAATTTAATGCATTGAAAAACTTACGCAACATACCAGATCTCACGATTCTCCGCGCAGATAAATGTAATGCTACAGTTATAATGGATACGTCGGATTATAATTTTAAAATACAACAACTTTTATCGGATCCGAATCCGTAAAAGTAGTTTTATTCAAAGGTTTTTTTCTTTTCTAGAAGCAACAAATCTTAGTTTTATATTAACTTACTTAAAAATTAAAATTGTTTATATTTTCGGTTTTATATTGTTTGAACTTTGAAATCATTAGCTTTTAACTATTATAATTTATTGATTCCTCGGAAAATAGCGCTTACTTATGTGGATTATGAAAATGTTTACTTTGAAACTCATATTATGTATACAATTAATTGATTTAAATTTTGTTGTGCCCATATTGTGTCAATCCTTAATTGAGAATAATATACCTATATATGAGACTCTTTTACAAATTTATCTATACATATAATAAAAATGTAAATAGCAGATGTCTGTACATTTTATATTTTTGTAATAAAAGTGATTGGGGGGTACTAAAAATAAGTAATTAAATACATTTCTACCATTTTTAGAATTTTCTGTCTGTCTGTCTGTTTGTTTGTTAAAGTATCACGTATAAAGTAATAATTTATATCATAAGAATTGTTAAAGAAATTATAAAGTGTATCTTCGGGTTACATTTAGTCTTTATTTCATTAAAATTAGTTCATTCCATCAAAAGTTATGATAAATATTCTGAAGTATGGGTAGTAATTTGCTCAACGGTGGCTTTGGTTGAGACATCAAGTGCAATTTAAACTAATATCATATCATAAATTATAATTAAATGATGTAAAATAATGTTCTATAATGATATAATTATGTATGTCTAAAACGCAGTAAACAAAAGTATTAAAGAACGTATTAAATACGTATTATATTATATACGTATTATTAGAACGTATTATAAATATATTATACAAAAATATATTAAACTTATTAACTAAATCTAAAGTAGAATAGTTAAACAATTTTATCGATAGATGGTGGTATTGTGCAAATGTAATGCAAAAAGGCAGGTTGTGGTTTTTTCCTGTAGATGAGTTTTCATATTTACTGCAAATCTTTATATTACTCGATGCCCTACTGCGTGTTGATAAACTCAATTTATTCTTTACCGCCGAGTACTCTATGTGGTAAATCAAATTTTAAAGGAGCTATTAACAATTGCGTTGGTTTTGTCGAGGATCAAACTTTCTTTTTTGCTTACTGTGCAGGCACTGATATATAAGTTCTTTTACGTTTTATATAATGTATCAATCGCGTCAATTAATCTCTTTTATTATTAGAATTGATGTTAGCAGCGCCATCTCTCTTTAAATATATACATATAATAAAAATGATGATAACATGTTGTGTCTGTTTCTGTACACTGTATAGTATATTTTTGTGGCTAAAATCATTATGGAGAACTGTAAATAATTAAATAAGTACATTTTTATAATTTTTAGAATTGTCCGTCTGTCTGTTTTTTTTTTATG